TTTTTTATATCATATGTTATGTGTCTTTTATACCATATGTTTTAACGATTATCTAAGAAATTAAGAGAAACCAAAAGCTTGAGTACACAAACATTTGAAAAATAAGAAATGCTTCATAAAAATAACGAAATTAATGAACTTGTAGTAGTGTATGCTAATCTTGAGATTTATTCACGACAGATAGAACATGTTCGTCAAGCATTAGTAAAAGCAGTGTATATTACAAATTCTTGCTCAAAATAAATTACATTTGTTTCAAATTTCTGTATAGTTAGCTTTCATCAACAATTACACGTTACGGATTTTAAAAACCGTGTTACATTCTGTCAATGGATACAACATCAAATGTACATCAACAATTAATTTTATTCATTAATATTGTTCACCGATGAGGAACACTTTACTAATTATCGTCATATAAACGTCCATAATATGTGTTATTGGTCAACTGAGTCTTCATTGGTTAATAAAAGTAGAATATCAACGATAATGGTCGGTAAATATGATATGATATCATAGATGACAAAATAATCAAATTATTTTTATCAACGGAACATTAAATAGCATCTAATTTTTTGCATATAAAGTAAATATTTTGTCCTTATGTAACAGAATATAAATACAGCATGTTTTAAATAAAATATATTGTGTAAAATTATATTGCGTAATGTGAAAACAACATAACTAAACAACATAATCAATATTAACATTAACATTAGTGCATTATCTTATTACTTTAAATATATAACTTACTTTCTATCTTACTTTCTTCTACTATTTTCTTATATTTTCTTACTATCTTCTTACATCATTTTTCTTATTATTGTAAATTGTTTTTCAAATATTATATTATCGCAAACAATTTTTAATAACACATATTTGCTTTTTAGACAATTACAAATATTTTCATACTAATTAAAAATCTACTTGATTCAATCAAAATATTTATCCATTAGTACTTTTGATTTTTAACTTAATTATAGTTAAATTTTTATTTAATCTTTTTTTATTAAATATAATTAAATATTATTTAACTGTATTTATACTGTTGTATGAGATTTAAGTACAAATATGATTGTATTTATTTTAATTATAATTAAATAATTGTTAAACTACATATTTGTTATATTAAATTGTGTGAATATTTATTATAAATTATTCCATAATTAGATATATCAATGTATATCTTTCTACGTTGTTAAAAAATATGATTTGAATGTTATAAAGATACATTTTTAAAATGAGTCACATTAATATTACAACTCGTTAAAATTATTAAATCCTCTTTGACCAATAAGATAAAGCAATATGAATTATGATAAGTAATCGGAGAACAAGCAACTAATTCACAAAAATTATTCTATAACTTTACATAAAAGTTTATTAGTATACTACAAGTTTATTTATGTAAAATAAAAATGCATTTAATTTATAATATTATAAATCTATAGAGATACCCTTTAATATAGAAGCGGTACAAAGGACAAATTCCTAAAAATAATTTTTTTTTTAATAAATGACATTAAATAAAGATAATTTTACAATAAAATTTTTGTTCATGTCATTTTTTGATATCTTGAACAGTTTACAATTGCAAAAAAAGCAAGTCTCTATCTTTGAATGGTAATTTCACACTCTCAAATTTTCTTTTAATATCTACTGAAATTTTCTAAATTTTACTCAACCTACATTTATGCAAAATTTTATTAAAATTAGAATGTTATCAAAATAAATGTGTTACATAGAAGATACAAAGAGTAAATTTTTAAAAATACTTTTGTTCCTCGAAAAATGAATAGCATAGTTAAATAGAGAAATTCTTCTATAAAACTTTTATAAAATATCTTTTGATATTTAGTTTAAATAAAATATGTTAAAAAAAAATCGAAAGCCTCTGTAAAGAGTGGTTTTAACCCTTCAAACTATTTTTTAGCAGCAAATAAAAATTTCTAAATTCTTCTACTTACCTAACCAATATTTATGCAAAACTTTATTAAAATTTGAATTTTTGGATTCACAGTGTTTCTTTCTTAAAAATTTTACGAATTTTTTGTCAAAATATATAGTTTCAAGTCAGAAACTAGGTGTTGGCTATGGACACGTTTGCCTCTTTTTCATGTGAGATATGAATATGCGTATGCGACATGCAAGAGAGAGAGAGAGAGAGAGAGAGAGAGAGAGAGAGAGAGAGAGAGAGAGAGAGAGAGAGAG